AATAATAAACAGATTGTGCATCTATAAATATGTGGGTAGTGTGTAAACCTCATGAGATCATTATAATCCACTGTACCTGTTGTTGGTAGACCTAATTGTCTACACACTACAAATGCTTCTTGATATCCCCAGCCACTATCACAGACACTAGTCCATGCTCCATTATTACACACTTCAACAGTTCCTTCTGTTGGTATTAGTCCATCAGTGAGTCTCACTGATCCAGTACTACATGAATTAGCTACAAAAGCACAATAAATTTACATGTAAATAATTTTATAGAGAAGTTGTCTATACCTGGACAAACTATACCAACATCTTCTGAGTGTGAACAACCAAAAGTACTACCAATATCAACAGCTTTATTGCAGTCCAGCAAGTTATTCTCAGATCCAGTACAAAGCAGGCGGTTGAGCCATATTGGACCAGTGCTTTGACCATAATAAGCATTATGATAGTAACTTATAGCTATAGCAAAGAGACAAAAATAAATAAGACATAAATTTGCTAAATTTTAATCATTACATTGTCCTCCATCTACTTCATATCCAAGCTGCCTACAAGCTACTCTTGCATCAACAGTACCAAAGGAATCATCACATACACTTCCCCATACAGAGTTAATACAAATCTCTAGTCTTCCTCTGTAGGTAGCACCTCCATTCACTAACCTCAGTGCTCCATGCTGGCAGTTGTCATTACAGTAACCTTAAGCATAATAAAGATATAATATTCTAAAAAAACAAATAACTACAGTCTATACCTCTGGAATAAAATAAAGTCAGTACCACTACTACAGCAAGTTTAATGTCCATCTTTATCGAACTTTTCTGCAAAAAAACAAAAACAGGAAAGGGTAATTATATTCATATGCTGACACCACACAGGTGTCACCAGTAAATTTAATAAAGAAGATCCGAATTATATGTATAATCAACTCTACAAAAATAACTTCGCATTCCAGTCAAACATAATATAGTTACACAGTTTAAAAGAATGGTTTATCCAATGCTTTATACTCACCATCACTCTATTAGATCTGAGCCATTAACTCTTTTATGCAGAATTGCAGAATCTATCATTTCTGATACATATTGATGTCTTTATGCTATGTAAAAGTTTGAACAAATTTCCACTCAAATTGGCTATTTAAAAAATGGGTCAATTTCTAAAAATACTATGTATATTATAGCCCTTGCTTTTTTCAAGAAATGGCTAAAAAATCACCCCAAATTTTTATTAGTTTTTTGATACATATTGATGTCCTTATGTTATGTAGAAAGTTTGAGCTGATTCTGTTAGTTACATGTATGAACATTTTAAAAACAAAACAATCTCTAAAAAGCAAAGGCTATAGACTGGTCTAGCCTATAAATTGTTCTAAAAATTGCTCTGACTCATTTGGTATACTTGGTCTTTAGACAATTAAATTTTATCAAAACTGGGAATGAAGGGGATTTTGCATTTTTATTACATTTTCTAATATATATATGCTCTTTGTTACATATATAGCTTGAGCTGAGTCTGATCAAAATTATATTTTAAAAGTTGGCCAGAAAAAGGGCAAAGGGAAGCAATTGCTTTACTGCCCTCCTAGTGCCCCTACCCTTTTGATTTTTACATTTTAATCAAAGTAAATACACTACTATACCTTTAGTGACAGACTGTGAAAAATGACTTCCTTTGTTCATCTTATTACAGTAGATAGCTTTTGTAAGGCTTGGATTTCAGAATAACTGTATCTCTTTCAATCTTGTTGTCATTATAAGTAGAATTCTTGCAATGTTTTTTGGCCCAAAACACACTCTATTAAAGATGAAATTATTAACACCTGCATTAGTCTGTAAAACTTACACTGCATTAATTGGGAGAGCAATAACAAAGTAAGCAACAAAACCAAA